GGGGGCGCGGCGGGCCTGCCCCTGCCATCCCCCCACCCACACCAGCAAACCGCCGCTTCAGAGGCTTCCCCGGTGCATTTCCACTGCCTGTTTACCTGCTGGGCAAACCTGGGGAAGCTTCTAAATCCCAGCGCTGATCAGCTGTGATGCAGAGAGGGGGAGGGGCTGGAGCGAAGAAGAGCAGAAAATGGCTCTCTGCTCCCTGCTGGGTGCTGGCTCTGAGCTGTTTGGCGCTCTTTTTCCTACTGTTCTGAGGTAAGTGATTTATTATTATTTTTTGCTTTTGACTTTTTTCCCATTAGAACGCATTAATTAAATTTCAATGCATTCATTTTTGCTTTTGACTTTCCCCCCCTTTAGAATGCATTAATTAAATTTCAACGCATTCCTATGGAAAACCGTGCCTCTCAAGACATTTTCACTGGACGGCATTAACTGTGGAACGGATTAATGTCGTCTTGCGAGGCACCACTGTACAAAGAAAATATGTATAAGATGTTCTATAGAAGGTCTATGACACCAGAAAAAGTATCAAAAATATACCAAAGTACCTCTAACAAATGTTGGAAATGCAAATCAAAAGAAGGTAGTGGTTATCATATATGATGGACTTGTCGGGAAGCTAAGAACGTTTGGAAACTAATCCATGAGTTTTTACAAAAAAAGTTATCCTCTATAATTCCATATGAACCTGAATTGTTTTTGTTGAATACCAGACTCGATAGAAAAAAAGATATTTGATCATACATGAAACTACAGCAGCAATAATTTTATATGCCAAATACTGGAAAAAAGAGGAGACTTGAACAACCCAGGAGTTAATAGAATTTTTTTTGAAGCAGCAGAAATGGGATATTTTAATTGAAGTATTAAAAGACAACGAAATTGCTGAGAGAGAAAAAATGGAACCTTTGTATAACTGGATGAGAACATGAATGGGTTACAATTATGAGAAAGGAAATATAAGATATACTTTTAGATTTTAAAGACTTAGAAAAAATGGTAAGGTAAGTGTGAAGTAAGCTTAGAAAGAAATATATTGACAAATGTAATAATGATACATACTGTTCTCTATCTTCTGTATTTTTTTATTTACCCCAACACCCTGATCCAAATCCCCTTCCCTATAATCTTCACTTCCCCTAATGGAAAATGATTTTTTTTAAAAAAGGCCTCTCTGTAAAGCAATGTCTTCAGAAGCCTGAACACTAGAAGGGAAGGAGCCTGGCAAATCTCCATTGGGAGCTGATTTCAAAGTATTGGTGCCACAGAAAGGCCAAGCTTCTTTTGGATTATTTCATAGAATCATAAAGTTGGAAAGCCATTGAGTCCAACCCCCTGCTCAGTGCAGAAATACAAATCAAAGGTTATCTGTCAAGCGGTTATCTAAATTTCTCTAGAATGCTTCCAGTGTGGGAACACTCACCACCTATTGAAAAATTGGTTCCATTGCTGTATAGCTCGAACAGCTACAAAGTTTTTCCTGATATTCAATGTAAATCTGGCTTCCTGTAACTTGAGCCCATTGTTGCGTGTCCCACACTCAGAGATGACCGAGAAAAAATCTTGCCCCTCAGTACGACAGCCTTTCAAATATTTTAAAAGTGCTATCATATATCCCCTCAGTTTTCTTTTCTCAATGCACAACATGCCCAGTTCTTTCAATCTTCCCTCATAGGGCTTGGTTTCCAGCCCCTTGATTATTCTAGTCCCCCTCCTCTGAACTTCTTCCAATTCATAGGAATCCTTCTTGAAATGCGGTGTCCAGAACTAGACACAATACTCAAGATAAGGCCTAACCAATGCCGAATAAAGGAGAATTAGTACCTCAAGGGATTTGGAGATTTTTTGTAGGCATCCTTCAGTCTCAAGAGACTATGGTAACGTGCCCTGAGTAGAGCTCTTGGAACAGCGCCTAGTGTGGCTGAGAAGGCCAATTTGAGGGTGACAATCCCTTCCACATTGAAGACAAATACAATCTGTCCCCTGTCCAGCTCCCTGGTTTTGCTGCTTTTGTGACTTCCTCTTTGCCTCGGCCTGCTGAATAAGTGTGTCTTCAAATTGGGAGAGGCCATGATGCACTGCCTGCCTCCAGGCTGAATGTCAAGGTTTCCCATTTGTTGAGGTCCATTCCTAGGGCCTTCAGATCCCACTTGCAGATATCCTTGTATCGCAGCTGTGGTCTCCCTCTGGGGCAATTTCCCTGCACTAATTCGCCATACAGGAGATCCTTTAGAATCCAACCATCGGCCATTCTTGCAACATGCCCGAGCAAACGTAGATGTCGCTGTTTCAGTAATGTATACATGCTAAAAATTCCAGCTCCTTCCAGGATTACTGTATTTGGAACTTTATCCTGCCAGGTAATACCAAAAATGCATCAGAAACAATGCACATGGAAGGTCCTCACCTTCCTCTCCTGCTGTGCACAAAGGGTCCAGGACTCACTGCAGTACAGGAGTGTACTCAGGAAACAGGCTCTATAGACCTGGATCTTGGTATATGCCATCAGCGTCTTATTATGCCATACACTCTTTGTGAGTCTAGAGAACATGGTAGCTGCTTTGCCAATGCGTTTATCCAGCTCGACATCTAGAGAGAGGGTGTCAGAGATTGTTGAGCCAAGGTACACAAAATCATGAACAATCTCCAGTTCCTGTGTGGAGATGGTAATAGAGGGAGGTGAGTCCACACCCTGGCCCATGACTTGTGTTTTCTTCAGGCTGATTGTTAGTCCAAAATCTTGGCAGGCCTTACTAAAACGATTCATAAGTTGTTGGAGCTCTTCAGCAGAATGGGCAACAACAGCTGCATCATCAGTGAAGAGGAACTCCTGCATGCATTTCAGCTGGACTTTGGTCTTCACTCTCAATCTAGGGAGATTAAAGAGCTTTCCATTTGATCTAGTCTGGAGATAGACAGCTTCTGTTTCAGATCCAAAAGTGTGCTTCAGCATGACAGCAAAAAAGATCTCAAACAGGGTCAGTATGAGGACACAGCCCTGTTTCACTCTGCTTCGGATGTCAAAGAGGTCTGATGTTGAGCCATCAAAAACTACAGTGCCCTTCATTTCCTCATGAAAGGACCTGATGACGTTTAAGGAGACGAGGTGGACATCCAATCTTGGGAAGTATTTTTAAAAGGCCATCCCTGCTAACCAAATCAAAGACCTTTGTAAGATACATGAAGGCCACAAAGAGTAGCTGACGTTCCCTACATTTCTCCTGCAACTGTCTGAGGGAAAATACCATGTCAGTGGTGGAACTATTAGCTCGAAATCCACACTGTGATTCTGGATAGACTCTGTCTGCAAGCATCTGGAGCCTCTTCAGCACAACATGGGCAAGCAGCTTCCCTACAACACTGAGA